ACTGATGGCCGTTAGCACATCAGCGTTAGACCTGTCAAAACGGAAGCCATATTATTTCGTTAGTGAGTAGGTCTTGAGAGCTAAGATTCTTAACTACTTTAGCATTGATTAAAGCCTCAAATACTTAGCCGAAAAGCGGTAGGAGACTAAGAGCGCGATAGTTAGACGGGCCAAAAGATTCTCCAGAGTTCTTAAAATCAAGAAGTTCAGAGGTGGAATTCCAACACACTGGAAAGCAGGAAGCAGCTGACTTGGGCCAGCTCCGGAGCACATTTCTTTAGGACGATAGACGAATCCCGTTACCTCCGCTTCTCTTATGGAAGTTTAATTTAGAAATGGTATCTGAGACCAATGACGGGTTAATGCACATCTTACTCAGTAGAACCTCTGTCTTATTGGGGAAATCAGATGTGGGTACTCCAATTGAGCAAAGTCTTAAGTGGGAAGAGTATTTCCGAGTGAAGCATTCAACCTTATCTGCTGTAGATGTCAGGACTTTAAATTGATTGAATAGAGGCGCGATTGAGGATTTGCACATTCTTACAGAGCCTCCAATAATCTCTAGAACCGAACATGCGAAATGCTATACGTTGTTTCACTCTATCAGCCAACAGTAACTTCGCTTCTTTGAGGACATGCTTGCACTCGTTACGTGGGCTCTAGAGACCGAGCATGCAGGTGAGAACCAAAGAGATAAACGAGGTTTAACTTGGTATTTCCTTGCTGTAATGAAAGTATCCATACCGAATTTCACCCAAAAGGAGACTTTAGATGCGTGTTTTTGAACAGTATGATTAAAAACTTCATTCCAGTGGACGTCGCGAAAAAATCACGTAACGAGTCCCAATCTGGTTGTTGATAACAGAAAGATATTCTGTTAGGATGTTCTTAACTGGTGGTGCAGCGGAAGGAGATGTTTACAGATACAACCGCATGATCAGAGTTGCCTAGAGGGTAGAGCGGCGTAGCGTGTCAAGAGTCAGGGATAGAAAGAAAAAAAAAGAGATCAAAAAGAGAAGCGTTTCCGTCAGGTTTACTGAAGAAACACGTAGTGAAGTCAACCACTTGTGTGAAAAATTGAGTGATTGAGAATTTCCGGGTTTGGATGCCAGAGAGGTCAGTGACAGAGTGTTAAAGCCACCTGGTGCGGTAGGCATTAAAGTCACCGAACACAAATTGGTAACCAGCGTAGAGAGATGGCCTTGTTTATAATATCGGAAATACTATTCTGGCGCGCAACAGTATTGAGAGGAAGGGGAACGGTAGAGAAAGAATAAATAGCTGACTGGGTTAGGTAGAGAGAGGCGGCGACACAGGTAAGAATGGTCTAGTGATTCAAGAGATAGTTACTTAGCCAGCGGGTGATGTTCGGGGATATAAACTCTCAGACCATGTATTTCTAAGGAGAGGTAGGTAGCCAAGGTTCGAGACTTTCACAATTAAGTAAAGATTTATTTTGCCTTTAATGCACATTAACTTGTTCAAGTTCTGAAACGCATATCTGTACAGTTTCGTAGCAGAAATGTAAACAGTACAATCTCTGAAGTATTCATGAATTTTACTTTTAATCTGATATATTTTATTATTTTAAACGTTATTTATATATCACTGTGTGTATTAGGGTGTTTCATTAAGACGGCTCAATGTCAGTAGTAAATAAATCAGTGTTATTAGTGAAAATTTATCTCTCTATTGGATCATGCTTTTTAAGTCATGGCAAAGAGGTGTGAAAATAATATCGCCTAAATGTTCACCAAGGCTTCAACGGAACACCTCTACTCAATGGTCAAAATTTTTGATGACGTATCTGCATAGTTGCTCCTCGATCTCATCAATATGGCTTATTATCTTATCCTTCAGCTGTTGAGTTGGAATACAATTTACATTTGAGATGATCTCAAAGGAAGAAATCTAAAGGCGTCAAGTAGCACAATACTGGTGGATAATCGGCTTCGCTGTTTCGAGAGATGATGCGATCTGGGAACTTCTCATTGCCGTTCTGTTTGGACGTCCATTTTTGTAATAGGCTTCGATAACTTTAACACGTTGTTTGATTGTTAATCTTTCCATGATTGAAATTGCTAAAGATTTACGTTGTTAAATCTGAAAGGAAAAAAATCATTAGACGCTTAAGATTAATTCACATTTAAAATCGGTCCAAGATATTGGAACACCCTCTATATATATATGTATGTTGTGCGTACATGCGTTTGTATACGTGCATGCTTTAATATATAAGTTCTAAATTACGTACTCTAATTGTGTTTACAGGGACAAATATTCATTTTTTCAGATAATTCCTTTCTTTTTGAATGTACTTAATTACAGTATGAATATTAGTCACCAAAATCAACAAAACATTATACATCGATAATAAATTTAAATTCAGTTAATAACGTAATGTAGTATACACACGTATTCATCTAGTGCTCTTTGCTCCTGTGTATACACGTTCATATACATACGTGTGTGTTTATATATATATATCTATATATATATATATATCTATATATATGTATATATCTATATATTATATATATATCTATATATTATATATATATCTATATATTATCTATCTATCTATCTATCTATATATATATATATACACAGAAACACACACGTATATATATATATATATATATATATATATATATATATATATATATATATATATATATACTGTAAAAGGGAGGGCATACTGATTCGGAAATTACATTCTTCATAAAAGAAAGTTTGCTTCAACAGTAGATAAATAGATAGATGTATAGATAATGAATTGATATATTTCTTCCTATGAAACACCAAGATGAGGAAGAACAACTTCATAAATACTTCATAATTATTTTTATTATCTTTAGTATTCATTGCTCGATCGATTGATCGATTGATATCATCTGATGTCGAATGGACGTCATTCATCGAAATCTAAACATTCCAATCTTTCTATTTCCTGGGTATTTAATACTTTTTTATGACGCTGTCGTTTTTCAATACCAATAACAACCCGGATGATTCAATTTTCCTTGTTTTATCGAGTGCTTCTTTCCGAAATGTTAATTTTGACTCGATGTTAACTGAAATCGTTTGGCTTTGGTGAGACATTGAATAAGAACCTCATATGTACAAAGGCGAAATAACTCACAAACATTGCCAACTAAATTGATTCTGAGCATCAATGCTGAGTAAATGGTAAGTTTGGCACAGGTCTAAACTCATGAAGCGTTCTATGTGACTCATAATAACTACAGTATATGCGTGCATCTCTAAAAGTCTACATGCTTATAGACTGGCAGCTGATCTCATGATTTAGTCTTTTACAGCCCAATAAGGGGGGAAACTGGCTTGTAACTATCAATACTTCTAAAACCAAGCTAGACACCTTTAATTATCCCCGTGTTGACCTTAAATTGTCAGAAATGATGTGGAATAGCTTCACTCTATACGAGGCTCCTTTCTTTGAACGCGTTTTGGGATTCAAGTTCCCCATACCTCAAAAGGAAACTCATACATACGAGTCATTTTTGGAGATGTTTGAAAATGGTGGGACCTTGTACCGCTCCATAAAAACCCTAGATCCGCCTGGCATGGTCTATCTGCATAAGTCACATCGGTCGCTTTCTCATTACAAGTACGGCGGAAATATCTCCCATATTTTAAAATGTCATATATGCGGTGATAGTAATTTGAGGCAAGTGACAATAGTGTTTTCATGTAGCTAATATCTTACCAATCTTTTCCAATACTATCAATTACCAACACGCTTTAAATCGGTGCGCACCGTGTATTTGTTGTTCCAACCGAAGAGTCTGTAATTGCAATATACGGCGCATTTTCTACTTATTTCATGTTATATCGGAATGATGCTGTTTCGGGTAGAAAATCGATACTGCTCTGGGTTGAAATGTTCAGCGCATCAGGTTCGATGGTTAAAAGAAAGCCATCTTGAAGACTTGGAAGCGTTGGAACTTCCGTGTGATGGAACTTTATAAATCATCTACAACAGTGTATAGTGAATGTAGACCACCATTGGGAGGATGTCTTTCTTAAAACCAAAAAATAAAACTGTTTAACCAACAACCAAATAATAACAGTTCATTCCTCTTTGTTTCTAACGATCTTTTTTCTATTTCTTAATACTTTCCCTAAACTTTGGATGACACCTTTCATTATTCCACTGCGAATTCTGTTTTAGGTGTCCCATTTTTTTAATCTCTATTAAAACGGTCACTTGATATGTAATTCTTCGCATTTACTTGATTTCATTGTCTCTAATTGGTAGTTCGCATCTTGGGCAGTTCCTCTCGCTTAGAACTATATATTTTTTCTGTTTACCATCAATGTTTAGTCCTTTTTTCACGCTTTCCTTTACTATATTCTGTAGGAGTCCCTATAATTTCTTTTCTGTGTCTACTGTCAGCATTGTGTCATTAGAATATCTTATCAGATTGTGTCTGTCAATAATGAATCCTGTTAACATTTCTATTTCTCTACGGATCGTCTCGCCATAAACGTTGAATAAATCCGGTGTGAAATCATATCCTTGTCATACGCACGTATCGAAAACAAAATTATTCTGAATCCACTATCTACAAAGTCAACTTTTACGTAAGTCTAAATTAATTATTTCGAGGAATATTCTTTAACTGAATGAATTTTTCGTTTCTTTAGAAAAAAATCTTGCCAGGAAGGGTTAATAATTATGTTGGCGTAATGTATCAGTTAGGAAGAAGATCAATTGTGTATCATCTTATTTAAGCGTCTTTCATTCATGGTAGACATATTTGAGTTGCTTTCAAATTAGATCGTCGAGTAAGTAAACTGAAAGAAAAGCGTCAGCCAAGTAAATAAAGAAAAATTGTAATGAAATTGCGAAGTGAAATGGAATACTTTACCCAGAATTCTCTCGTCCTGGAATGCGTCGGAGGTTTGGTAAAGATAATGAAAAAAATGTTTCTGTCGTTAATGTTCGGCACGCAAAGCGAATTGACCGTTGTATGATATCACGGAGACAGCCGAACATCAAGATAGAGAGTCACGAACGAACGCTCGTGCAGCAGGCGGATGACAAAAGGCACGCCTGGTCGCTTTGGTAAACGCCTTCCATCTTTGAGTGTTTGTTCTGTAAAAATATATATTTCAAACAAACAGAAAAGGTGGTGAGGAATAGAACTGAAGGAAAAGGAGAAATAAAAAAAACCTTTTTTCAATAAGTACGTTGAAAGAATGTGAATGTTGCAGAAAGATAAAAATGGACAAGTAAAAGTGACATGAAAAAAATGAAAGAATGTCGCAGAAGAAAAAGAAGATGCAAAAGAAGAAGACAATAACAAAGTGAAACAAAGAAAAGAATATAAAATATAGCACAAAAGAATATGTAGGTAAAGCAAGCAAAAAAGGAAAAAAGAAAGAAAGAAAGAAAGAAAGAAAGAAAGAAAGAAAGAAAGAAAGAAAGAAAGGGAAACTGGTAAGGAGAGGAAGAAAGACAATATAAAATTTATTACAAAAGAATGAATAGTTAGGAAAGAAACTAAGAAAGAAAAACGAAATAGAAAAGCTAAGAAAAGAAAGGAGGTAGAAAAACAGAAAATTAAGTACAAAGGAATGGCTAGATTAAGAAAGAAAAGGGAAAGGAAGAAAGAAATAGAAAAATGAAGAAAAGAAAAATAGATAATATAGTGCAAAAGAATAGATAAATGAAGAAGAAAGGAAGAAAGAAAGAAAGGAAATAAAGAATGACAATAGAAAATGTAGTACAATAGAATGAATGGGTTAGAAAGAAAGAGTGAATGAAAGAAAGAAAGAAAGAAAGAAAGAAAGAAAGAAAGAAAAGTAATCAT